ATAATTAACAATTATTCCACGAGCGCGCGTTGGATATGAGATGATAGATAGCCAACGAGGCGCGTAGCGCCGAGTTGGCTATAATCATCTCATATCCAACAAGCACGAGTGGAATAATTGTTTTATTAAAAAAAAACGCCCCCAAGATATTGGACAAATCTTCTCGACTTTATTTTGTATGAAGAAACCGGATGTTACAATGTACAGATATTAGATTATGGTATATCGGCTCATATACCATAATGGCCAAGCCAATAAAAATTCTTTAATTGCATTATCCAATGATCCAGTTTTTAATAAATATAAAATAGTTCATGGAAAGTCACTCTGTATGGTACTTACATACAAGCTGGTATTATCAGAAATCGATAGCTTTACACGAGTACCACCTTACAGATTGGTTTACGTTAGTGGTCGTGATCATCAATATGAATGACAAGTGAATATGTGTAGACTACCCACTTATATTTGGAGGTAGGCCTGGTGGGACTAGCAGGTTTAAATATTACAAGAGAATGATAAAGATTATTGTCGATTCATGGCTATGGTAGATACGTTTTCCCATAATTAAATAGAAAAGACACAACAACCATGTTAAGGTACATTTGTGAGTTCAACAACATTATATAAGTAGACTACATTAGGACAATCTTACACAGTTCTTGTTGGATTCCCTCTGTTGGCTTTAACTGAGAGCAATTAACTTAACATAGTAATTGACTCAAGAGGGTTATACTTTCAGCACCCCATGGATTACCGAGACGTGGAGGTGTCACTGGGATATAGTGAGATGGAAAGAACCACTAAGGTTGTTTGGTCTTTATTCAGGAATGACACGATGACAACCTGTATTTGAATGGTTGTTCACTTTTAAACAGGGTTGACAGCTACTTTTTTCTATTATAGTTGTAGAGGCAGATGTTAAGTTTACCAAGGAACCGTCAGATCCAACCTACGTTAACAACGGGACCAATGCTAAACTGGTTTGGGACTACAGTGACACCAACAATGCATTCAGAGGCATTTTATTTAATGTCCTGGTAGATGGTCAAAACGGTAAAGAATATAAACCAATGCTTTACAAACAAAATGGTAGCTTCAAGATACATCAAAACATACCTCCACTTTACAAAGGAAGAGTGAGGCTTGAAGGAAATGCTACCCTGGTCATTGAGAATGTAACTCCTAAAGACAACACCAAATTTCAATGTGAGCTAACTGGTAGTTCAACACATAGAAGTGCAGTTACACTTATCATTGCAGGTTTGTATCGCAAGTCATTGTTCAAATTTTTGTGGATTAACTGAGAGTTATTGTGGTGGGTGTGCTGTTTGCTTTTGTGTCATTTTTTCCTATGAATAGTTTGCCTTTGAAAATCAATAAAACTGTTAGTGGGGCTCCATGCATGTGGCCTGGTAGCTCACTTAGTAGCAGCACCCAACCAGTATCCAAGAAGCAAGGGTTTGAGTTCTGTTAAATCCTGAAGCTTTTTCTAACTAGCAGCAAGAGAAATCACATCTTGGAATGTCTGGGAATATCACCAGTCATTTTATGATTGTGTTGATGTCCTAGTGAATTTGGACCTTCCTAGATTCGGAACCCACCACACCTCGTCCGTATTCACCAGTGAATATGGATCCCTTCGCACTGATTTGGACCCTCCTTCAAAACTTAAATTTTTCAGTTTTTCTCTTTAGTATGTATGTATTTATTTATTTATTATTTCGTCATCCTTATGTTTCGTCACAGAACATGATAGTCTTTAAGAGCCACTGACCGTAACTATCGAGAATCCGCCAACAGTTGCAAAATTTCAGAATTCGTTTTATTTTTCTGAGGACCCTTTTAATGAACCTTTTTCGAAAATTATATCAAAAAGTTCTATCGCGCTTTTTTTTCTTCAATAATTCCAGAAGTTCAAAATACGCCTAGATGGCCGTTGTCCCCTCCCCCCCGTAATGCAATGAAAAATTATGCAACTTCGTACGCTACAACGCGATGCAATCCCGCTTTTAAATTTTGTGTGCTAGCAGATGGTCCTTTTATCTTCTGGAAAATATCAATTTCTTTTTATGTTGTTACGTTTAGTCTGAATAGTGACCAGTCAAAATAAAGTACTTCTCGCCTCTTTCGCGAAGGTAAAATAAAGGTCAACTTCAGTGGCCTATGAACAGGTCTGGTATATTTACATAATATACATCATCTTAAAGCTTTATCCCTTTATTTTAAGCTTGGCCAGGAATGTACCTAATAAATGACCTCTTACGTGACAGCCGTTCAACGGATCGCATTACATTTTTTTGTCATCTTAGCCCGCGCTCTTTGAAAGCTGGACGCGCCGCCTATGGCGAGCCAAGAAAGAAATTTAGAGGAATTAAACTACAAGGATAAAGCTTAAAGGAAATATATATTTTGATTTGTAAATATATCATGCAAGACCTTTTTCAAGGCCTCTAAATGAGTCATGACAGCCGTTCAGGGGTTCGCATTGCATTTTTGACAAAATAACACAAACTCTTTTAAACCTGGACGTGCTGCTTATGGCAGGCCAAGATAGAGAATTGGAGGAACTAAAATAAAAGGATAAAGCTTTAAGATTATGTATATTATGATTTGTAAGTATACATGATAGACGTGTTCAAAGGCCACTGAAGTTGACCTTTGTTTTACCTCCGCGAAAGAGACGCGAAATACTTTATTTCAACGGGTTACTATTCAGACTTAAACGCAACAACATAGCAAGAAATTAATATTTTTTTAAGAGATAAAAGGACCATCCGCTAGCACACAAAATTCAAAAGCGGGATTACATCGCGTTGTAGCGTACGAAGTTGCCAAAGTTGCATAATTTTTCAATGCTTCACGGGGGGGGACAACGGCCATTTAGGCGTATTTTAAACTTTTCGATTTTTCAGAGACAAAAAAGCGCCAAGATACCATTTTGGTCGTAGGAAACCTGTGAAGGGTCATTTCCAGCTGTCAGGTTGTGTGCAAATGTAATAGCAAACAGACTTGCTCCTTCGATACATCATATCAACTAACAAAGCCAAGCATGTCCAGAAGCTAAGGATCTTTGAAAAAAAAGTTTTCATAAGTATGATGAAGATAAAACAGAGTAACCTGCGACTTCTATTTCCTGTATGAGCGCTGCTCATTAAGAAACCGTTATACTTTTACTCTAGGGCTTACACCAGCAAGCGCACAAGTAGTGCGACTCTAGCTTTTTAGGTGCAATCGACCCTGATATGGCCCTGACCTTAAATGCTAATTTGAGACAGTAAAGTAAATGATGATGCCTATTTATATAGCTGCTAGCGCCCGCGGGCAAGATAAAGGATCTTGCCCTCTCGAGATTGCCCGCTTTGTTCCCTCGCCAGAAAAAAAGTGCGTGGAGCAGACTTAAAAAGTTTGTAACTTATGAAAGGTTGCAAACAGTAGCAAAAGACGGTCAAAAAAAAGGAAAAAATTTAACGACCCTCTTGTCTTTATTGTGCCGCAAACACAGCTGGCTTTCTTTCTCGGCTCTCGAAAGAAACAAGCCATTCTTGATTTTTAATAAAGCGAAGTCTTTTTGCTATATAATAAATCCCTTACTGACAATAACCTCCTGCTTTGTCAAAAACGCACATCTATTTTAGACTTTGAAAAAAGTCATTTTTTTTCAAACGTTAATGTTTTGTAGCTTGACACATTTCTTCACCAAGGGTAGAAAATCAGGTTTAACTTTTGAATTAGCCTGGTGAGACACATATGTTGTCCTGAGATTTATCGTTATGATAGTCACAATATACATTTATCATCATTTCTTAATTTAGCCTCTGAAAATACCATTCAGTATTTTATTCAGGCAAGCAAGTATTTATAAACTTTTTTTAAGTTAAAAGACCCGTATGCAATTGTATTTTAGACTTCAAAAATGTTGCCCTTTTTTTCTCAGAGGCACCTGTAATAACCTTGTCATCAATCCAAAAAAGTTACCTCGAGGGATCCTTCGTGACCATTAGCTGCATAGCATCCGGGAAACCAGACCCGGATGTAGCCTGGATCAGAAGTGGTAAAGTTAAAACTTCAGGAAAGAAGGCCGCGGTTTTAATCCTCAACAGAATAAACAGAGCAGAAGATGGACAGTACACTTGTAGAGCCAGAAATTCAGTGAAAAGCTCCAACCGTCACATAACAATTGAGGTTAACTGTAAGTAATGATTATTTTTTAGTGTTTCTTAGTTTTAGCAATGGGCAAGACGCATGTCATGGGCCTTGCTCCCCATAGTTTCTGTGGCTCGGTGATAGAGCATTTGAACGCGGAATCCGACTGTCTGAGGTACGATTCCTTACGGGCACTCACAATTTTTCTTTGCCCCGCGCTCGTGACAAGATAGAAAAAACATATTTCTATATTACTTTACCGAGCTCAAAACCTACCATCTTTCTTATTCTTAACAAACCTGCAATTTATTTCGTATTCTGCACGCATGTGGTATAGTGCAGATGGGCAAGCGCAAAACAATGAGACCACGTTGTTATGTCTGGGTGAAATCCTTTAAAATATGCTACTTTTCTCTTCGTCCAGTATATTTCCACTTGCTCGAGGAACGGAGACCGCAAAATATCTTTGGCTAGAGGCTATTGGTAATAAAATAGAGTTTCCTTTCCACAGACGCAAATATTTAAAGTAGCACAAAGTCCGAGGCATCCTTATCAGCCCCCCCTTTAGGAAAGTGATAAACCCATTTGGCTTTAATCATCGATATCGTTACACCATAAATATACCCAGGATTGGTTTAAAAATCATACAGGGAAAATAACGTGCAGCGTAAAAGGTTATCTGATTGGGCTTACAATGGAAAAAGAGCATTTGCATCACTTGACATACGTTTAATACAAAATTGAACTCAACAAAATAAAGCCAAGGAAATTCGCTAGCTTTATTCGAGGTCAGTGGTTTAAGAGTGAAGCTATATACGCTGTTTTGGGTAGAAAAAAAAAAAGAACTCTCAGTCTCTGCCTGTGGTTTTTTTACCCACCCTGTTGATACTAACTATCGGGAGAGCCTAGATGGCACTGGCCCGGGGTTTGCTGGAAAGGAAATTTCTTCAAACAGTATATCAAGAACTGTTTCGAATGAAGCTTTAGATAAAGCTAGCGATACACTACCGAAATTTCAACGTCATTTCACCGACACTTAATTGAAGTTCTGTCGTTAGCCGACCGATATAGCAGCCGCAACACGATCCTAAAATCGACCGCTATATCGGCCGAAAAGGGTAGAATTGAATGTAATTTAGTCATGTGCCTTTCAAAATATCTTGAACAGACCCAACCAAAAAGGTTTTCAAGTGAGACAACTGAAATAACCATCGTAAATGTTGCGCAGTACGTCGCTAGTTACTCGACTGAGTGTTTATCGATTGCTGGTCAATAGCGGTAATAATAACCCTGATATATGTGTTGAAGTTGACGTTATCGGTCGACTCTAGCTCTACTATCGAATGATAAGCGAACGACATTCCCCCGATAGTAAACCAAAAAGCTTGAAGAAATTTGTGGAGCAAGAAGTACGGCAGATCACATAGATCGGACCCAGGTGATATTCCATATGAAAGGATAAGGAATTTGTATCATGAGGAACGGGTGACCATTGAAATAAGGTAGTGCTTATTCATAGAGTGAGATCTTTTTTTTTGATTGACATTATTAGACAAACCTGAAGGTGTAACACTAACTACAAGTGCTGCTCACAATATCGTCACACAAGGAGATAATGTTACATTAACATGTCACGTCACGTCAGCTAAGCCACGAGTATCAGGATACAGATTCTATTTAAATAACCTTCCCGTCAGTAACAGCAATAACAGAGAACACACCATCAACAATGTACTACGATCTCAGCATTATGGGGTATACAAATGTGTGCCGTATAATGATTTTGGAGATGGACCAGAGGCCACAGTGCCCCTTGACATAAATGGTGAGTAAAAACATTTTGAGGAATTAAAAGTAGGTTCACATTCTTAGCAATTGAGTTTTTAGAAGCATTTCTAGATGGGAGATTGTTTGCGGCAAAAGGTCTGTAAGATTTTGTAGTTTTTTCTAGGCCTTTACAATGTTTTACATCTGTAAATTTGAATAACGATCAAAATTAGTTTTCAGAACATGTTGGATCTAAGCAGTTTATGCCAATGGAACTTATTCCTTAATGAATTGAGTGAGTGAAAAAACTTTTTTTCACTCGAAAATTTTTGAGCTGCACCACCCAGCAAGACTTTTGAAATTCTTGAACAGTTATCTTACATATATGTGATTATGGTAAATGGAAAATCATAGGAATTTCTGAAAAGTTGCCATTTGAGAAAAATTGATATCTCAAGTGAATAGATTAATTATTTTAAAACAAATGGTATTATTTGACTGAAGTATGCAAGTTTTATTCATTCAGAGAACGTTCTTTGATCAGCCTTACAGAAAATGATAAATTCTATGATTCACAACCTTGTACCTCTTTTCTTGCCAGTTCCAGTCCAGCTTAAAGAACTACCTCAGAATATAACAGTTAATACTTCAACTCCCATATTCTTGACGTGTGATGCTTCGGGTTTTCCTGCACCCTATGTAAGATGGACAAAATCTAGGAAGACTTTGTCTTACAAGAAAAAACTTCACATTTCCAGCAGCAAAAAGAGTGACGCAGGAGAATATATGTGTACTGTAGGAAATGGAGTGGGGCAAGAAAAGTCAGCAAGAGCTTATGTTACCGTACAATGTGAGTTCTTGCTCCAGCACATCGTATTCTCACAACCGACAGAAAGATACAACTCGTACCAACTCAACTACTTTAACAACTGACGAAATAATCTTACTACGGAGCGATACCGATAACTAATACAATAACTATCCTCTTAACTTAGAGCCCTCTATAAAACTATAACCTCAGTGAACTACTGTACAACTCACAGTTCTCTCTTCAAAGATCCTTGTTGCTTATCAATATCCACAACACTTTTCCAATGCAGCCTTCCATACGGCTGACGACTCCAGTAACATTACTAGCTTCTCTAGGCTCTTCTCAACAGCACTAACTCACTGAAAAAGGTCTAACTTTAACCGATCGCGACTCCTTATATACGTTTTACAAAATGTTCTGGAATATTCTTGTGATCTGTAATACGACTATTTTTAGTATCATTACATTACTATTGCATCATAACAAAATATGCTGACTAAAGGTTCTAGAAAGTTCCATTAAGAGTTCTTAATGAGTCAGCATGACTAAGCGTTCCACAAACTTCTTCAGTTCTATTTTTAGCAATTCCGTAACGCAACGCACTCTCCATATGGACTTTACAATATAAAAAGGCACTCTCTAAACTTACATCCATCATATCCTATACCCTCTCTGCCCACAGACCGATCTCTATGCTGCGACATGAAAGACAAACCATAAACTGTCAGGATATGTCAGTTTGCACAGGACTGACTGAACACAAAATAGCGACCAGAAATAAGATCATTGATAATAACAATTCTGAACTTTTGTGACTCTCAAAACAGACCAATGACATCAGTGGACTCTGCTTAAGTTGTTACTAGACATGACTGAATTAATAAGACAAAAACTAATGGCTCTCTAAATTTCATTTCCGAATCCTTTATATCCCAACATAAAAATGCACATCCTCCATACTGTTCTCCATACATTTCTAAGGAAACTGACAAGAAGATGAAAGGTCCTTTCGCTGTCGTGGATTTATTCAAAGCAGTCTTGGTTGAGTGCTTGGTCTAGCACATCATAATTCTCGATAACATCTTCGCGCTATAAATATTTGTACTTTTCTTGGGGGCTGGATTGAATTTTCTTTAAATTTAATCAGCTACAGTCTAAGTGCGCAAAAACAACCATCCGTTCATTTGCCTAAGAACCATTTTCACATATGTCTAGTGCGACAATGTAAATTAAAGCTTTTTGGCATTCAGACTTTGTAAGTCGGGTGGAGAGGCTCGGGTCAGGTATCAGTTGCCTGTTGGCCTCGGAATAGGAAGTAAATAGCTATTGTATTGTCCTTGATAATGCAGTATACGTTTATTCGAATAACGTGCGAGTAGGTTGGACAAATAGGAATGAAATTATTCAAATTAACATAGACTATACCGCCACTTCTTTATGCAATAATTTGTGACTTTTTGTCGTATTCATTTTTAGACCCACCAAAAATTCAGATTGCCATAGCTTCATCTCTTACGTCCTGGGTTGGTCAAACAGTGACCTTAAAATGTCAATCAGATGGTGTTCCTACACCGACACTCAGCTGGTACCAACCTGACGGAGATGAAATAAAGAGAGCGACGAATAAAGAAATTAAAGCTAAGGTGGCATTGAAGGACAGTGGTGATTTCGGTGATTACAAGTGTGTTGCTGAAAACGGTCTTACTCCCCCTGATGTGAAGATAGTGAAGATAAATCAGATAAGTAAGTTAAACCAAAGTGACTCTGTGGCGAACCCGTGATATAATGGCAGAATGTAATTTTTTTATTTCGTCAGGTCAAGTCTAACATGGCAAACTAAACTTGATGTATAATTCCTACCCTACTTAAAATGAGAAGGTTCTTAAGAAGGAATTTGTCAGTAGGTCAAGTTTTGGTTAATTAGCTATTCCACGGTGTATGTCCAGCACCAGAGTAGCTATCATCCCCACTTGTTCAAAGTCCTCATCAACTGGGCTGTTGTATTTGGAAATCATCTTTGCCATCTTTGCTGAGATGCATGCTCTCCCCAGACTCTTAAGGCCGTGCCAACTCGTTCCTATGCTTTGCATGTCTGCCAGTAATAATTCAATGACCTAAAGTTTTCTAAGAAACTTTCGAGTCAGTATTTTCAGTTGCTTGTTCTCTTTGCTCTTTCTTAACTGATTAAGGCCCTATTTAACTGCTAACTTTCCTTGTGTCGTTGGAATTATGGATTGATGAAACATTAGGAACACTAACTACAGCAACTTACAAACACCTTTTAAGGTGCCTTTCCCGCGTGACTTTTGAAATACATGAAATATATTACCGAACATGTTTAAGTGGAGGCAAATTACTGAGTTCAGCACAATTTAAAGGGTCCAACATCAGCTTTTTCAACGGGGTGCAGTAGTTTCCTCTCATCCTACCGTTCATTAAACAGCGATGAATTTATTACTTGGTGTCTTTCACAAGGGCAAGGATCTGATTAATAGAAGCGACCAGGACTAAGGTAACGCAAACAAATTCATGTCGGCTTCGTTTTTATCAGCCACAAAAAATATTGTGTTCTTCTCATGCAGAGAAACCCAGCCAGGCATCCATCATATCAACAGAAGCAGACGTTCACGCCAGTTCTTTAACAGTAAGGTGGACTGCACCAGCTGATGATGGAGGAAGTCCTATCACAGCCTACCGAGTGATCATACTAAAGGGTGACACCAAGAAAGGCAGTGTTAATATTACTGGTCTTCCTAAAACATATCACACTTTTACGGGTCTGGAAAGAGACACAAACTACACGGTGAAAGTGTTTGCCAGAAATTCTGTATTTGAAGGAGATGCTGCTGTAAAGACATTGAAGACAAACGGTGAGGATTGCCTTTTCTATTACGCTCTTGTTGTAGCGCAACTGAGCACTTAAACAATTCATTTTGTTTCTAACTGAGAAACGTGTTATTTTGGATGATGTTAAGGGTGTCACCCTTCAGTGTAAATGATACATATACTTTCGATTGATAGATAGTAATATGAGATTTTAATCGTCTCATATTTTTTAAACTCCATTCAGATATAGCGTATAAATTGATTCATCTGTGCTGCAAATTATTCCTTTGGGTGTAACTGAGAGACATAAAGTCAGCGTGAATGTTTTTAGAATTGATTGTCCATAGCAATGGGAAGGCTGCTATTAACGTCCTCATATTTTGACTCAACCTCTAGTACATTCTGTAATCTAACTCACGTGGCATCTGTAACCTAATACATGGCTATAGGTTTGCAAGTCAAAGATTTTGCTGACTTACCAGTTTCAACCAATCCTTAGCAAGGCCAAAATAAGTACTCCGCGACGCTTTCCCCACATTTTGAAAAACACACTTTTCGTTTGGGATGCTTCTGTGCATTGCCAGATCGCAGATGAGATATTGGCTCTTTAATGCGTGTATAATGCGTGTACCTTAGTGCCAACCGTTTTTCAATTGCGTAAGAAAATGAAAATAAAATTTCATTTTCGGTTTTCGTTTTTCGCTGCGCTGTAAGAAAACGAAATTGGATTTCAATTTTCGTTTTTCGTTTTCGTATGGAATTTGGAGTTTGAAATTTGTTTTGCCGTGAGTTCATTTGTTTGCCGTGAGTTATTCTGCAATGTCGCATCACGTTTTGCTTTAAGTAAATTGATTTTAATTTGACTTGCACCTATGGGCCACCGCATAGAAATCCCTCGTGAAGTAAAGAGTTTTGCCAGAGAATGTCAGCTTCAGTGCCATCGGCGGAAACCGAAAAACGACTTGGCTTGACTTGCAATCCGTTTTCCAAATTCCCGACGAAACAAAAAATGAAAAACGAAAATTGAATTCAAATTCCGTTTTTTTAGAGCGCAGCGAAAAACGAAAAACGAAAATGAAATTTGATTTTCATTTTCCTACGCAACTGAAAAACGGTTGGCACTAAGGTACACGCATTTCTTTAATCTAATTTAATTTAATTTAATTTAATTTATTTTAATTTAATCTAATTTAATTTAATTTAATTTAATTCTTTAATTTCTTTAAGCTGGGCATAAACTACGTTGTTTTATGTAATCGAGAGACAAACAAATGGACGGACGACGATATATAGACGTCATCTATATAACATCAGCCCCTCCACAGTACTAATGTGAGAACCATTCAAAATGGCGGTAGACATTAGCGTATCACATTAATAGACATAGTTAATGGGGTGTATATTTGAATTCCACACCACCATAACTTTAATGGCGTTATATCCTTTCCACTTATTTCTCGTCACCCAAAGCTGCTTTCATTTTACGAACTCCCGTGTTACTAATTGTCAATGTCATAGAGAATAATACATGGGCGCGAGTAGATAAGGAATTTCTCTTCGAGTGTTTAACTCGATAGCCCACAAGTGAACGCAGCCGAATTGAACATACCGAATTGAACATGAAAAGAGAAATTCCATCTGTACGAGCAACCATGTATTATTGTATTCTTTATAGAAACAAAATAGGCCTTTACTGACAAGAAGATTAGACTTTATTTATGAATGACAAATATAGGATCTACAATCCACGAAAAATAGTCGTAAAAGTATTTAACTTTCTGATTTTTCTTTTTATGCTTTGATTTTCTTCCACTTCTAGGACATTTTGAGCCTCACTGTCTCTAAGCGATGCGAATTTTTCCGCAATGTTTTCAACAGCTATAATCCGAGAAAATTTCGACGAGCGACCTTAGATTGAGAATGGTGAACGCTTAAACATACATGCATCAGCCTGACAGATTGCCATGAAAGGCGAGTGACGTGTCAGTAACCGATTGACGATATCAAACACACGTCAAGTTTCTTGAGATGTGCAGATAGGGCTTTTCTCAAGGCTGGAAATCCTTGGAACGAACATATCTCAGAGTGCATTAAGAAAGCGAACAAGCGCCTTTATTTTATTGTTCTGCTAAAGCGCGCCAACGTTACACTGAGCAACATTATAAATTTTTATTGCACCGTGATAAGATCTGTTTTAGAGTACTGTGCGCCAGTTTTCCATCACGCGCTCTCACAGTATCTTAGTTACGACATTGAACGAGTGCAAAAGAGACTGCTCTTTATCATTTGTCCTTATGCGTTATATTTCGAATGTTTGGCCAGGTTCGACTTAGTAACCTTGCACGCGAGACGCGTGGCTCTGTGTAGCAAGCTTTTCGAGTCTATCACGTCATGCCCGGATCACAAACTCGTGCCTGTCTTACCTCCTAAGAGAGAACACAGATATAATCTAAGACAGTCCAGGGCTTATGCCATGCCCCGTACACATACAAATCGTTTTAAGAACACTTTTATTNGCAGTGGAAATATATGGCTTGCCCAGTAAAGCAACGGAAGATACAATTACTCTGAAATGGACTAGGCCAAAAGACAATGGAAAGAAAATAACGCAATATACTGTTTACCAGAGAACATTGGGCGATGGGAGACCAGGAAATTGGACGATGATAAAGGAAATCTCAGATGTTGAAGTCAGAGAATTTGAATTTAAAGTAAAGCTGGAAAGAGGAAAAGTGTATCAATTTGCTGTAACTGCGACTAATGGGGTTGGTGAAAGCTTAAAACCAGATGAAAAAAAGATTCCGCGAATCAAGGCATTAGCAAGTATGTTTAAGTGAATCTTATTTTCCCTTGATAACGATTGCGATGCTCTCAAGTGCTTAACTTTTAATCACCTCTTTGTCGCTAAAGTAGAGTTTTTCAGCCATCGTGTGAGTGTGGGTGTGGTCTGTGTGAATCTTTCTCTCATATCCTGGATCAATAAAAAAGATGTCACTGACCTCAACATGGTGGCCGCCGACGCCCGTTGGCTGATTAACGAAGAGAATCAGTTTGACATGGCTTTGTGCAAATATGACTATCATCTCCTACCGTTTTTAATGCATGATAGGGGAGTGCGAAGAAAACGAGTGAGACATAGTGATTCAGGGGGAAAAAAGGTACCTGTTCATTGGAAAACACAGTAGGTGCTTTTGCCTCAGATTAAGTTTTCGATAAATGGTAGGTTAATTTTTTTTATCACTCATCAAGTACAAGAAAGTGATATGAGTGTTGTACCGGTACCAGGAAACACACAATTGGTCTCGTTTAAATGCCTGCGGGCCAAAAAGACTTACAATACACCTTTCAAAACACTTTATTTTGTTTGGTTTATCGTGATGTGGGCCCAGGTTCCCACAAGGGTTCCCCGGCTGGTGGCGAAAATGGCGTGATGACTGCAATATATTCTGGAACGGCTGTGGCCGGTGTTCTACTCATTGTTGAAATCATCGTGATCATTGTTCTCTGGAGACGCAGAAGGCCTTCAAGTCCCGATAACGGTATCTTTTTATTCGTAGCAATTCATTTCTATTAAAGGTTGTTTGTGCCTACCGTCTACATAGAGGTAGACATCGTTGGATTGGACATCAATAGAAAGTTACAGACAGCTTTCGTTGCAGACTGCCTACACTGGAAGCATAGTCATTCGGTTTAATTGCTACCAAAAAGCATTTACTGATAGCCCTCGGTTCAAGAAGGATCTGTGTACCGCTTTTTTTTTAAGGCAGGAATTCATACACTGTTTGTGATTGGACATTCATTTACGAAAAAAATGATGCAATATATACTCCATGATGCTAAATATTCACTTAAACTGTTTTACAATATAAGGAAATTTCACTGTAATTCAAAATGCTTAATCTGAATCGTCTGTTGTTTGTAGTTTATGACATGGTGTAATAGAGATGAGTCTCAGAAACTCAGAATCTGAATAATTTCTCAAGATCGATCAAAAACAGACACATGTAGAAAAGTTCTTGCCTTCATAATCCTCCTTCTAATAATTTACATAATATGGCAACACAGGAAAGATAGGGGGCCATTCATTAGTTGTGTTAAAGATGGGCTGATAACCTTTATCATAAAGACAGCATATAAATATTTGGCCCCCGTCCTTATGATTTCTCTTTCTTCCATTTTATTCCAGGCGCAGTAGGGAGGCAGAGGTAACAATTTTGCTCTAATTAAGAATGTCTGGAGACGAAGTAAATGTAATTCTTTGTAATATTCATAACAAAATACCGTCATATCAAATATCATATCATCCTAATCTACGATCGCTAAAACTAACAGCATTTATCCATGTCAATTTTCATACATTTTCTTAACTGTAGGACATACGGAGATGAAAGAAATGCTGATGACGTAAGTGGCAAACTAAAACAATGAAATTAAGTTGCTATTTGAAGAAAATACTATTTCAATTCATTTCTTTTTTTGAGATTAAAAAATTGTTTTTCATAAATAACAGAAAGAAGGAGAGGTTCACCAAATGCGCGTCTTTAAACAGGTGGCAGATGAACCGTGGCTGCGAGGTCGTTTCACCGAATAGGGAGTTAACTTGGATAAGATTTGTCGCTTGTTTTTCTGAGTTAAAATGCTCAGTTGCGCTTTAAAAATTAACGAAAGCGGTTGCTGTCGGTTGCGATCTTTTTTCTATTTTGCAAGAGAGCATTTTGCCAAGTGAAGAAATTGCAGCTCTCATTAAGTATGATCACCTCTTGAAGTTACAGTTCAAAGTTTCCGCGAAGATGTTGTAAATCTTCATCAGATTCTTGGGCATAAACAATTTTGGTAACGAAGAGGATACTTTTAATTATCGCTAGAGTAAAAACAGCAGAACAAAGGAATATCTGATGTAAGAGCACAAACTATTTTTCATCGCCTAGAGTGACCTGCTATTGATATTTAAGACAGGTTTTTTTTATAAATTATTGAGCGAGTACGTAAATTTCTTAGAATGAAATAGAATTAAAAGATCTTCAGTCAAGTCTACCTGATCCAAGCAAATTCACTCAGCCTCCTGGAGAATACATGGATCTCATAGAGACTGGCAGAGATAACAGAAAAGCACCAAGTGCCACTGCAGTTGATTACGCGCCTCTTCGTCCATTGACACGGTCTTGGGAAGTTCCAAGAGATCACGTGACCGTAGAAAAAATCATTGGTAAAGGTGCTTTTGGTCAGGTTGCTAAAGGAACAGCGGTTGAACTTCGAGGAAGGCCTGAGGCGACTACAGTGGCCATCAAAATGCTTAAATGTAAGATATTGTTCTGATTTCAGAATAGTAACCTTAGATCAAATTGCGCCTTAGACAGTAATTCGGAAAATGGAACACAGTCAATTGAAAAACAAAATATTCATATGTTGAATTTTCTTTTTTTCATTAGCACCTGGCGAACTCAAACTCCTAGTGGAAAGGAAAAAGGGTTTGAGTTAGTTTGGATCCGAGTTATCACCATTAGTACACAGCCAACAATCACATTTGTTGGTTTTACATGAGCTTTTTGATAAGAACGTGTAGCTTAGAAAGTTCAGCTAAATGTAATCACGTCCATATCAATCGCGATTTAAGATTGGACTTGGCTTTTTGGGTGAAGAGAGGGTTTGAGTTCACCGAATTGGAGTTAGCTGATAATAAATGAAAAATTGGGGTCAAATCCAAGGGAAAACGATGTTTTGGTTGGTTTGGAAAAGAGGACTTCGAGTTCGAGGTTCTAGTGCATTGGCATTTTGAATGTTATTGCAGTCAAGCAATCTTCACCGTTTGCTTTTAACTTTCCAGCTAACGCCACAGAGTCTGACAAGCGAGATATGATGAAAGAACTCGAAACAATGAAGCAGCTGAATCCTCATCCACATGTCATTAAGCTTCTGGGATGTGTTACGGAATCTGGTAAGCTTTGTTTTAGTAGAGGCTGATAGTTTCTGAAGAAACTGTTTGAGGCTGCGTCGGTGGGGGTAACGAAATAATTTGAATATATCAACAAATTTAAAATGGTAAATTGACCACCGTTACCATTATAAAAGCTGACGTTTGGAGCGTTAGCCCTTCGTCGGAGCGAATTCATTCCCTTCGTCCCTTCGTCATTCGCTCCGACGAAGGGCTAACGCTCGAAACGTCAGCTAACGGTGGCCAATTTACCATTTCAACTTTGTTGATATATTCAAATTATTTTTTTTTAGTAGGCTTTGTTCGGTTTTACTCATTCTGGCGAATGGCGCTGATCAAATTGCAATTAGTCCTCTATTTCCCTTTTATTGTCTTTTTCGTGAGACTGTCTCGTGAACGAAGAACAGTTGCTCAGTTGCGATTATTCTTTGGCTGAGCCACTTTTGGTGGTAAATCTTCCCGCAAGTGGTCCTCTTATTTTATCTTACTTCCTTATTTTTTACGACTTTTAAAATGTCTCTGGTCAGTTACAGCAAAGTGTCTCTCTTTTTGCAGAACCACTCCTGGTACTGATCGAATATGTTCCTTTTGGAGATCTGCTGGGTTACCTCAGAAAGAGCCGTGGATTAAATGACAACTACTACAAAGACCCAGATATTGAACCAAAAACAAATCTGACGTCACAATAGCTGATGAAGTTTGCTTGGCAAATCGCTGATGGCACGAGTTACCTGTCCTCAACATCCGTGAGTCAAAAAACGAGTCGCAGAACTTAACACAAACTTAGTACAACAAACAGAACAACAACGACATAAGAAAAACAGAGATTAACTCTCAGAGATACTATGCAAACTTATTTCTCAATTCTTACCTAAGATCATTCACCGGGACCTCGCAGCTCGTAATGTGTTGGTTGGACAAAAAGAAAAGTGTAAAGTGACAGACTTTGGAATGGCTAGAGATGTACAAC